CAGAGACAGATAGCAAGAAGAAAAACAAGAAAGCAATCTCCTATGGGAATGGTCATGTCACAATCCCATGTCCTCTGTCTCTCCCTCCTTTCACGATGTTGGTGCAACATGTGTCCAGTATGTTTTTCAAGTCACTGGATCCAGTGGGTGTTTGGCCATATGGAACCTGGTTACCTTGTTCACTATGCCACAATCTGGCCCATATTTTTTCAAGACCACTCTTTAGAGCAGTTTTAGATTCATAGCAAAATTAAGCAGAAGATAGCGATAGCGATAGCGATATCCCTGTCCCCACATAGACACAACCTTCCTAGTTACCAGCATCCCTTAATGAAATGGTACTATTTGTTACAGTCAGTGAACTTACACTGACTCATAATTATCACCCCAAATCTATAGTTTACATTAGGATTCACTCTTGGTGTTGTCTTACTGGTTTGGACAAATGTATAATAGATACATCCACCATTGTGACACCCGACAGAACGTTTCCAGGTCCCTAAAAGCCTCTGTGTACTGCCTGTTTATCCCTCACTGCTCCCTGTGTCTTTTCTATGTAAGTCCACTAGCTTTCGGTAGCTTCTTTGCTTTCTGGTGCAACATGTCTCAAGTTCATTTTGTACTTTTCCTGTTTTGGTCTTACAATAGAATCAGCCATTCTTTTAGTAGGGTGTTGTATTCAGAGATGACTGTGTGTGTGTGTTCATGTGTGTGTGTTTTCTAAAAGAAAATAAGTTGCCAGTTTATATAATATTTCTAATTCATATTTAGCATTAATAGGGTTTTTGCTTGGTCATTTTTGTATTTGATTCTATTATCTTGATCTAAAAGTCTTGGTTCCTAAGACATTAACATAATTTCTTATTTGCTTTATCCTATGATATATATCAACTTTTTTTTAAAAAAAAAGAGCAATATTGTGATAAAAGTAAAACCACTGAATAAGATTTTAGATTTCTTTGCAGCTCTCTTTGTCCTTAGGATATATTCTACCAATGATATACGTTCAGATGTGAAGTAGTTTTAACTGTGTGGTCATACTGCCAATTTGATGGTTAGGTTCATTCATTTTACTTTGTTTTCAACTTAGGGCATGTTTTTCTTTGAATTTTACATATGTTTTAACTATGTAAAATAATTATAAGATTTCAAAAATGAAACTATAATGAGAGAGAAGTCACTTCTATTGGTTCCCCTCATTTTGCTTCTCCCTCTTCCATGGGCAGACATTATTGTAAGGGTCTTAATCTTCCCAGTGCTTTCTTTTCTAAATGTGAGTGTACCGGGACCAGCAGATGGCATAGTGGTTATGTCACTGGACTCCTGCACAGTCAACCACGGCTCGAGTCCAGGACCCAGCAGCTTAAAACTCACTCTAGGCATGTGTGTGTGGGTGTGAGCCCAAAATCCCAAGAAGAGAATGGAGAAGGGATTGCAACATGGCTATCCACCCAAGGGGTGATTTCTTGCTTTCTGTCTATCTCTCTCTCTGTCTTTGTGGTGAGCACACGTGCTCTATAGCCAAAATCTCTCTTTAAAGAAAAGTGAGTGTACCTGAGATTGCATTCTCTCTCTCTCTCTCTCTCTCTCTCACACACACACACACACACACACACACATATTTCCCCGTTTCTTACACAAAGGAGGTATAGTTTATACATTCTCATAGGCCATGGCCTTTTTTCTCCACTTCATATATCCTGGAAATTACTCCACATTAGCGTGTGGATCTGCTTAATTTTTCAGCTTCCTGGTATTCTGTTGTGTGGATGTAGTAGTTCTCAATAAGTGCCCTACTGATGGGCTTTTAGGTTATTTGCAAATTTTAGCTTAAAATAATACAGAGTGAGTAGCCTTGGGTGTATGTCATTTCATACTTTTGCCATTGCATCTGTGGATAGATACCTAGAAATAGGTTTGCTGTGTGTCATCAACCGGAGAAGTTCATCAGGGACCTGTGGCCTAGGGTTTTTACCAGATGATAGTTGTGTGGGCAGGCTCTACCTGGCATGTACCAAAAGTCTAGACTCCCAAAAGGAAAGCAGGTATTTAGGTATTTAGCAAAAGCCATATCGTTTGTACAGTTAAGGCACAGTGAACCTTTCTTTTTTTTTTTTAGAGGTTTTTTGCTATAGGGTGCATGCGCTCGCCAGACAGAGACAGAGAGACAGAAAGCGAAAAATCACCCCCCAGGGGGGATGGCCATGCTGCAATCCCTTCTCCTCTGTTCTCCTCTCCGGATCCTGGTCATGCACGCACACACGCCCGGCATAAGTTTTAAGCCACTGGGCCCGGAACGCGAACCGCAGTTGACTACGTGGGAGTCGAGCGACATAGCCATTACGCTAACTGCTGGTCCCAAGGCACAGTGAGCCACTCTTATCAGTTAACTGTGGGAGCCTTCCCCCTACCTCCTGAATCCAACTTCTCAGACACTGTTAACTCACTTTATAGGCAGCCTTTCAAAGGATAGCAGTCAGGTCTGCAGTGCAAAACATTTTTTTACTGAGCACCATTTTCCTTTATTCTTGAATTATCCATTAAGAGTTCCACTTATTGTGGTCTTTTTCTTCTTCATTTTTAAATCAAAATGTAATTTAGTTCTATTGCCTACACATACAAACAGTAAGCCTAAATTCAAAGGTGAATAAAATATAGAAAATAAATATACATTTGTACAATCATTTATGTTAGTTTGTATCTTTTTTTCCAAAGATACATAGCTAGTTCATGTACTTTGTACTTAAATCCTTAAAAGTTTTAGAATTACAATATTATAATATTTACTATCAAAACATTCTAATTAGCCTCATTAGTTTATTATTCCATTCAGCATCTTTGTTAGGCACATACTATATGCCGTGTATTATTATAAATAAATACCAAGGATTAGCTTTGTCAAGCCGGCTCCATGGTCTGGTGGTTAAAGCAGACAGATCCCACGTGGCCAACCTTGCAATTCCATTTCCATACTTAGTGGCTTGAAAACCATGCCAGATGTATATGTGTGCATGCCAGAATTCTGAAAGAAGGGAGAGATAGAGGAGAAGAGACTATGACATGAGTGTTTCCCTTCTCCTCTCCCTGTCTAGTGAGAAAAAAAATAGGAAAGTATTAGTTTTATCATTTTATGTTCAACAATATGTGATCACTCTACAGTGATCTAGTATTTTTAGTTAAGTGATTTAAATAGGAATTGAAAGAGGAAAAAAAGCCCCTGTGTAATTTGCTTCTTTACAATTTTATTTTTGAGAGTTTTGTTTTATGTTTTTTGTTTTTTTTCCGCTATAGGGCACGTGTACTCACCAGACAGACAGAGAGAGACATAGAGACAGAAAGCGAGAAATCACTCCCTAGGGGGGATGGTCACGCCGCAATCCCTTCTCCTCCATTCTCCTCTTGGGATCTTGGGCACGCACGCACACACACTCGGTGTGAGTTCAAAGCCCCCGGGTCTGGGACGCGAACCGCGGTCGACTATGTGGGAATCCAGCAACATAGCCATTACGCTAACTGCTGGTTCCCTACAATTTTATTTTTGTAATAATGAAATGTCTTAAGTTACCTTACTTTTGATGAAATAAGCCAAGACTTCAGCTTTCTGTTATCATCTACACTAATACTTTAAGACTTAATAGTTTTTTGAATCCCTTACAGCAGTTGAGGCTTATTGTATTAATTACTACGTCAGTCATTACTAGACTTTTTTTATTCTATTCAGATTGGCAAAGTATACCTTGTCTTTTTTTTTGGTTGCTTTTTTCAGTTTTTTGTTTTTAAGGGTGGCATGTGTGTGATAGAGAACCATCAGCAGGTGTTGTCACATTGTCCTCCAGTCCTTTCCCTAGTCCTCCAGCTCCTTGGAATCTTTGGCACCCACACACACACCTAGTGTGTTTTCAGGCTGACCTGGGGATCTGAACCCACAGTCAGCCATGTGGCTGCCTGTATTGCAGTTTAGTATGTTACAGGCAGTGCCACCTGGCTGGGGCTTGATTGTATGTTAAGGAATTTAGGTCTGTTCTGGCATAAGTATCAGATATTTTTTTTCCAATTTGTCTTTTGGTCTTGCTTATAGTATCTGTTGCATTTTTTTTTCAGTGCTCTTTGAGTTTTTTTTTTTTTAATTATTTTTTTTAACTTTATTTCTTTATTTCAATTTGACTAGAGAGAGCAGGGGAGAGAGAGAGAGAGAAAGCAAGCCTATAGGTCTGGGACTTGAACTGTGGTTGGCCATGTGGGAATCCAGCACCTTGAACCACCATGCCACCTGCGGCCTGCATATGTTTTTTAAGTTATTGCTTTTCCCACTCCAAAGTTACAACGAGGTTCTCTTATCTAGAACTTAGGTATTTTCATTTTCTACATGGAGATCCTTAGTTCATTTGGGATTAATTTTGATACAATGTAAGACACAGATCCCATTTTCCCCCAAAACATGGCTACCTAGTGTGTACCAATTTAATTGTTTTAAAAGATCTATTTTTTCCTTATGTTTTTTAAAGAGTTACCTTTATCAGCCATGTACTAAATTTCTATATGGTTTTGGGTCTCTTTCTAAACTTCATATTCTGTTTCATTAGTCTGTCTCTTAAGCACCAATACCACAGTTTTAACTAAAGAAACGTATTAATAACATATCTGGTATCACATACCACATTATTCTTATCTTCAGTGTATTCTTAACTCCTTTTGCTTATTTATTTTTTGTATGACCTTTAATGAACATATATAGCTCTAGAAAACCATGTGGTGACATTTTTATCAGCACTATATTCACAAATTAATGTGTTGCAAAGTGACATCTTTATCACGTTGAATCTATTGTTCATAATACGTCTGTCTCTCATTTGAATTCCACTTTTGTGTCTTTCAAGTTCTGTCTACAAGTTTTCCTCATATGGGATTTGCACATTTCTTGTTAAATTTAAACCTTTTTTTTTTATTGTAAATTTCCCCCATTCAATTTTGATAAACAATCCTTAATGCTTATATGATAGATTTGATGTCGAAACCCGCCATGTCTTTATTGGTGACCACTCGGGCCAAGTAACAATTCTCAAACTGGAGCAAGAAAACTGCACCCTGGTCACAACATTCAGAGGACACACAGGTAGGATTCCAAACAAAGCCATCATATACTGATATCACAGTGAGCTAGCACCTCCTAACATATTCTGATGCTCACGGGATATGTTTTGAAAGTAGAAAAAACAGTGACCTCTTATACAAAGATATACCCAATACACTCAGCTGAGTCTAGCATGATTCATAAGATGTAATGTAAAACATTTTTCTACGTAATCCAAACAAAGAGAACCCATCTATTTTGAAAATCATTATTTTTTGGTTCTTTGTCATATCTCATGAGAGAAAGTCAGTGTTGGCATAAGTTAATGAGACATTGTTTGAGATCGTGTGGCAAGTGCTCAAACCCTGGAAGGCCAAGAACAGCTGCCTTGATCTGTGCTGGCCGTTCTTAGAGTAAGAAGATATGTCCAAGAAATATTCCTGTTCCTAGACAAAAGAAAAGAAAAATATACTCTTTGTGAGTGACTAGGCTATGTACAAAGGAACAAGTTCCTCTTTAATTTTCTTTTCTTTTTAATTCTTTTCAGTTTAAAGCCTGGGATTCTGTTTATGTTACTGGTCTGCCCAGGGTCATTTAAACAGGTAGTGCCCACTTAGCCTTTGGAAGATTTGAATAGATGATGATTAATTTTTTACTAGTGTTCTTAGCATGTGATGTTGACTCTAGAAAATGACTTGGAAAATGAGTCACTACCTGTTTTCACGGTTCCTAGTGGGTTTTTTCGGTGTGTGTGTGTGTGTGTGCTTTCTGCAGACCACCAACCCATGATTCAGTTAGAACAGGGATATTGGGTGTTATATAAAAACAAAAGTAGTTTTTTTAGAAAAATTGGATAGTACTTAGATTACAAGGGGTTTCCTGAAGGAAAAAAAAAATGGAGTACTGGAGTAAGAAACATATGATAGAAAGAAAATGGAGTCTTAGGGGAAAAAAGTCATAAAAGATCATCTTAATGGTCTATGCCTTTGGGAGGAAGAACACATAGAAATATACCCCATGGATAAGGTCCTGGTTTTTCCTCATTGAATTTCTCTTTTTAGCTGCCTGCACTCTGGCCAAGCCTGGGCCTGGCAGGGATCCTGAACCATCCTACCTCTGAAATTTTAAACTTGGGGGCCAGATGGTAGAATAGAGGTAAAACACAACACTCTGTGAGGTCGATCCAGTAGGAATGTTCTGGGATCATGTCTGGCTCACTCTGAGTATCCTGGGCATTGGTGTGCTCATGATCCAGGGCTGACTGAGGTTGGCAGTGGATTGTGGAATCAGGACCCTCGGTCTCTGTTGCTCATGGAAGAAAAAAAAAAGATATAATAAATTTCTGTTTTTCACTACTGACTTCTAGTCTCATCTTTTAACCCCCTAAACTATTTCACTTGCCCTTATTGCTAATTCCAGCTCTTGGTTCCTCTGTTTTTCCAAGGTCTCCAGCCCTGTGTTCCTTTCCTTCCCAGTGGTCATCACTTCAGCCACGCGCTTCCCAGCATTGTCAGTTCTAGTCTCCTGTTCTTCCTTTGCGGTGGTTCATATGAGCTGTCCTCCTCCTCTCTGTGTAGCCAGCTGCTGGGACTGCCTCGGGTTACATTGTTGTGAGACTTGGATCATCCCTGCTGTTGCAAAGTCAGGGTTTCCCATCCAGACTCGAAGTTGCCTGGTGATCCCTCCACCTGTCCACACACACTCCTCTTCCCAGTCTCCTCAACAGCTTTTGCGGATCTTCACCCCTCTCCCCAAGCCTCCATTCCATTCCAGGCTCCTCCTTCAAATGCTATCTGATAGAAACTTTTGTAATTTATTTTTCTTGACTACTCTGGATCTGCCCCACCACCTCCATCGCACCCCAAAAAACTTTTCCTCTGCCCACTTCCATTCATCTCCGTGCAGAGCCAGCCCTTCTCCGGCAGGTCCAGGCTAGTTTTTCTCAAGGTCTCCACACCAAAATTTATAACCTACCTTTGTCTCCCTTTGACTAACTTGCCCTTTTAAATTTATTAACATGCTAATGGTTCTTGCTTCTCTGTTTAAAAAAAAAAAAAAAAAACATTTTTCTCAGTCCCATGTCCCCATGTCCTATTGCAGCAATTTCCATCTATTCTAATAGGAATGCTTCTTTTTTAAAAAAAATTGTGATAAAGTGTACATAACAAAAATTTACCATTTTAACCATTGTTTGTTTTTGTCTCCCCCCCCCCCCCGCCGCCCCCAGAGGTTTTTGCTCTAGGGCGTGTGCCCTCACCAGAAATACAGAAAGAAACAGAGAGACAGAAAGCAAGAAATCACCCCCCAGGGGGCATGGCCTTGCTGCAATCCCGTCTCCACCGATCTCCTCTCGGGATCTTGGGCACGCACGCACACGCGTACACACACACGCCTGGTACGAGTTCAAGCCACCGGGTCCGGAACTCAAACTGTGGTCGACTACATGGGAGTCAGGCGACATAGCCATTACATCAACTGCTGGTCCCAATTTTAACCATTGTTAAATGTGCTGTTTACTGGCATTAAGTGCGTTCCATTGTTGTGCAGCTATCACCACCATCTGTCACAGAATATTTTTCATCTTGAGAAACTGAAACTACACCCTTGGATAGTAACTTCCTATCCCCATCCCCCAACCCTGCAACAGTCACTCTACTTTCTGTTTTATGAATTTGACTAAATAACTCATATGAGTAAAATCTGACTGGTTTATTTCACTCAAAATAATGTTTTCAAGGTTCATCCAAAATATAGCTAAAAACAGTACTTCATAGAAGAATATCATTTTCCAGCTGCTTCAAATTCTTCACTTCCTATTTGCTTTCCAGCTTCCTGCAGTCTGGTTTGTCTGTTATTCCACTTAAACTGTCTCCTCAGGTGACCAGTGGCCTGCTGGGACGTGTTCTGGACCTTGCTGTACTTAACCTTGCCCCAGCAGCTCACGCTATGGCCATTCCTTCCCCCCATGAGTGCCCTCCTTTGACCTCTGCGACACATTCTCTCTGGGTTTTCCTGCACTTTCCTGATGGCTTGTGCAGACTCTGTTGTGGTCTGTGGTATCTCCAGGTTCTGCCCCAACCCCTCTTTTCTGTACATCCTATGTTCCCTTTGTCAGTCTCAGCCACTATTTCCAGTCACAGAAATAAAAAAGCATCATCGTTGTCCTCCCATTTCCTGTAACCCAGTAAGAGACGAAAGCTAAACTGTAATCAGAGTGCGTGGTGGCAAGGGCAGTGGGGAGCCAGCACTGAGACCTGCTGGAAACAAAATGGGCAACTACCCTGGAAGGAGGTGGGCGGGAAGCACAGAAGGCCTCCCCAGGGAGACACTGTTCCACCTGAGCTCTTTGGGGAGCGAGAATTGAGTTCATGGGAAAGAAGAGAGCAGACGTCCGGGCAAAGGAAACCAGTGTGGTTCAAGGCATGGAGTCTTGCCGCAGCATGGCTCTCCTGGGAACTGCCAGTCACTGATTTCTGTTCGGAACACTGAGTATGAGGGAGGGAGTGGGGAAGCGAGGATGGAAGGACAGCCAGAAAGGCAGCAAGAGTCACATCAGATCACTGAGGCTCATCTCACACATTACCTTGACATCAGAGATAAAAACACTGAAGAGTTTGAAGCAGAAAAGTTAGCCTAATGGGATTTTTAAAAATTATTCTGGCAGTAAAATAGAGAGTATATTAGGTTGTTGGGAAAGTCATGATGTATTTTTCTGTGTTTTTCTATGCAAAAAATGACTTTTTTTTTCAGTAATTGGAAAGCTAGTAGAAACTGCCCATTGAAAATGGGACAATGGCAGTGGGAAAGTGAGTGGATGGACTGCAGGTAGAATTGAGGAGTTGAGCTCAGCAGACCTGGTGAGAGGTGGCCTTCAGCCTCAACTCTTGATCTCTGGTGGCCAGGCCTTTACCCCGCAGTGACTCATAGGAGTCCTCGGAACTCTGTGAAGAGTCAGAAAAGGAGTAAGCAGCTGTTTCTGAATGCTGTGTCAGCCAGGTGAGGCCCAAGGGTCTCATGTTTTTTAGGTTTGTCTTCATATAAATGTTACCTTGATGTCGTATCATTCTTTTCTCAAATAATTTAAAGTATTTTCACTTCATCTTTATCACAAAATATCTTTGAGGAAGATGGGACTTGGCCCAGAAAGGTCACTAATACAAATGTAAATGTAACAGGTTGTTATTTAACTTACATATTATTCCTAGAGAGTACCATCTAACCCTCGCTAATCTAGCTACAACACCGTTCATCTATTTAGAGCTAGAGTGAGAATGTCTAACAGATTTCACAATGATTCAAGCATATTGAGCTCTTCCTGTGTGGTAGGCTAGTTCTGGGCCCTGGCAGGTTCCAAACTCAGCCAGATACAATTCTGGGAAAGTAGTTTTTGTAAGAATCGAACAAGCACCTTAAGGTAAACTAAAACCCATTTTTAAAAATGAATCATTTAATTTAATTTGTTGTTATTATTGTTTTTTAATTGACCAGAGAGAGACAGAAAAAGAGAAAAGGGAAATGGGAGGACATGCTACCAGGTCCAAGACTTGAATGGCCATTGGCCATGTGGAAGTCTAACGCCTCAACCACCATGCCACCTGCTGGCCCCAACCCAATCCCATTTAAAAGTGGTCTTGGAGTCTTATCAGTTCAGATCTAAACTCAGTAGCAGACAAGTCATCAGTTTATGTCCACAGGCATAGCCATTCATCCCATCACTCTCTTAAAGTACAGATCATCATATAAAAATGTGAGTTAACAATGAAATCAGCCTAATAGACATTCCCAGAGGCTAAAACATAACATTTTGTACTCTGCAGGGATTTAGAAAACTTGTTTTATGTTCATATGCTCCCTCTGCTGGTTTTCTTTCTGAAGCTAAATGCCAGGTATCATAGTTCTTTGGTATTTTTGCAGAAATTAGAATGTATTTCTACCAAAACATCATAAACTGACTTGAAAAATAAAAGTGGGAGGGGAATCATATCTTGATCATTGGAAATTAATATTATCAAGAAAATCTTTTTTTCCTCTTATTTCTGAGAATTTTTATGTTCATATTTGAAATGGAAGGGCTTGAATTTAAGTCCACCAGAGTGTACTAATTAATGAAAATTGAGTACAGACTTGTTCATTAGCTGTTAGGACAGTTATTGAAAAGAACAGTGTAACTACCAAAAGGTAACTGAAGAAACCAAGATAGGCACAGTTCAGTGTAAATACCGAAGTTCAGATAATTAAATTGAAAACTGTACTTGTGTACAGTGGAGACTTTCACACAGATCCAGGTTGTATGAAGTGGAAATCAGTAGATGTGAATTGTCATGAATCAGTCAGTCCGCAGCTCTCTGTGCGATGGCTGCTGGGATATGCAGACAAGCATAGCTTCCAGTTCATCATGGGGTACAAGCATTAGGTCAGTGAATCCAGATAATTCATCAAGACATCATGAGTATAGCAAGTGCCATGAAGCCCTGAGGCTGTGCATAACTGCTGTGGAAACAAATAACAAGAGGGCCTCTCCTCCTGCAGAAAATTAAAGGGATGCTTCCCAAGAAAGTGGTATTTAAATAGCACCTGTAGGAGAAAGAGGAGTTCCCCAGGTGGTGGGAGCATTTGAGGCCCCAGGGAAAGCAACTGTGATAGCAATGGTGGGAAAGAGTGAGAAGCTACATGATGACAGTGGCCCACCTGGAAGAGGAATATGGGTTGACCTTACATATGAGTGTTAGGAACTCCGAACATTACACACTGGCCATGAGAAACTAGTGACAAAGTTTAAGTGTGGTTTGCATTTTAATAAGTCACTTTAATAAGGCAACAGTTGGTGGTAGATTGGGGATGAGACTGTGAGGAAACTATTTAGGAGGCTATTGCTGGAGTTCCTAGAAAAGGTGCAGTTGTTTGGACTGGGAGGGGGGGGGTGGAGTAATGGTAGCAGATGAGATAAGAGGAGGGACTCAAGATCCATTTGAAGGCTAGAGGTCAAAGGGGTAGGAATAACACCTAGCCTTCTGTTGGGAACATTTGGGTGGACAGTGACAGTGTTGCCAGGTAAACTAGAGACAGAACAGGGTTGGGAGAGAATCTCAAGCCGTTAGAACTGAACATGCTCAGCACACACCCTGGGGAGGTGCAAGGAGACGCCTGGGTGAATGTTTGAGGAAGAAGGTAGAGCATAGCAATGAAGTTCATGGAGCTCTACAGAGCCCCTTGTCACTGCAACTTAGAGCAAAATTCCAAAACTGGAAGGTCAAATATTATATTCAAGAGGCTCCATGGCCTGAGGACTTCCTTAAGCCACGTGTGAGCCTTTACCCTTACCCAGGAGAGATGATATAACGCTCTTGGTGGGTTACTATGTAACAGCATTGTAAAGACCCACCCAGTTGTTTCCAACCCTAATTTTGCAAAACATCACCTAATCTTTTACTTTTCCAAGGTATATTTGCAAAAGAATGAGAAAAACAGTTCACCAAGCATTTTAGTAACATACTAAATTTTTAAAATGTTTATATTCTTTGATCGAGTCTAACGGGAGAATTCATTTGGAATTCTCTTCTAATTAGGAATGTGAACAAAGTTGTATGTATAGGAATGTTCATCTTAGCAAAAATATATAATGCTTAAAATTGGAGCAAGAGCTACATATGAAATAAGATACATACATGTACTGGAAAATTACCTGGCCATTAGCAATTACATTTATGAGAACATGTAATTGTGTAGATAAATGTTATAATTATAAAAACTTTCATTTTAAAGATATTTTAATATATTTAGTTATCTTTATTATTCCTAAACAGCTCTGCACCCATTTAAAGATAACCAAAACATTTGATTCTTAAGAATTACATAATTTTGGGCTGGCAGTTGGCATGGTGGTTAAGGGCTCTGGACTCCCACATGGCTGACCGTGGTTCGAGTCCCAGACCTGGCAGCTTGCTTTCTCAGTTTACCTCTCTCTCTCTCATTCTGTCCCTCTCTGGTCAGATGAAAAATAATAGATATTTTAATATATTTAGTTATCTTTATTATTCCTAAACAGCTCTGCACCCATTTAAAGATAACCAAAACATTTGATTCTTAAGAATTACATAATTTTGGGCTGGCAGTTGGCATGGTGGTTAAGGGCTCTGGACTCCCACATGGCTGACCGTGGTTCGAGTCCCAGACCTGGCAGCTTGCTTTCTCAGTTTACCTCTCTCTCTCTCATTCTGTCCCTCTCTGGTCAGATGAAAAATAATAAAGTTAAATAAAACAATTCTTAAAAAATTATATCATTTTAATATAAAAATTATCCTATAGGTCATATTGTGGAGGCCAAAGGCAGGGAGAAGCCTAAAATACAACATTGAAAAGAAACAGATAGATGGGTTCATCTAAAATGAGGTAACATGGGATGGGACCAAAAACTTTTGTCATTTAAAATGTTATCAACACCTGAAATTCACAACTGCTATAGCCCTGGTGCTGCCCTCAGTGTGAGCTGGGGCAGGAGATGCCTATGCACTGCTGGAAGCGCAGGCTTGCTGAAGTTGATGTTACTAGTCCCTTCCATTGCTAGTAACAAAACAAACTGAGTCTGGATGATTTAAGAGAATAGGGGTTCATTCAGCTCACAGTTTGGAGGTCCCCGGTGCAGGGGCTACGTGTGCAAAAGTTTGTCCTGTTGGTTGAATTCCGAACAAGGCCAAGGGTGTTTATTCATATTCTTACCCCTTAATTCAATCATTGGCTCACTTGTCCATGTTTACTGATGCCTACTGTAAGCAAGGCAGAATTCGAGGTACTGGGGATACTGAGGAGAAGCCACAGCTCTGGTCTTCCTAGCATTTGCATCTTATTGGAGCATAAGCCATCAGTTAGAAAGAAAAAGGAGGGAGCAGAGTGATAATAGTGGTCAAGGAAGATGTCTCTTAAAAAGGTGACATTTAAGTGAGGATTTACATGAAGTGGATAAAAAGATTTTTGTAGTTTTATTCATCTGTACCTTCATTCACTCAATAGAGAATACTAGACCCTGTCTACATCCAGCCTTGTGTGGGGTTCTTGTTATAGGTGGTGGTGGAGCTGTAAGAGGTGGTTAACCACAATGCACTAGGGGAAGGAATGTTTATTGTGACATGGACAGGAACATGTACTGGCAGAATGTATATAGATTTAGGAAGAAGACAGTATGCATAATCTAAGGGGGAAAAAAAGGCATAACAAAAGTGTTTTTTTTTTCTTTTGATCTTACAATAAAAAATCTTCTGAGGCAATTATGTGAGAGAATCTTTTCCAAAGTTTTCAGGTATAGCACTTCATTAGAACAAATTGGTAATCTAAATTAAAAAAAAAAAAGTCAGATTCCAACAAATAAGCTATTTTATTTTTTTTTTAGGATGTAATATTTTTCAATAGTATAAAACAGGAGTATTTCTGACATTCTTAAGTATTTATAGTCATCTTATATGGAATAAATTATTACTGTTCTAAGTACACAAGGAGTTCGATTCATAAGGGGGCTAGTGTGGAAGAAAAGCTGTCATATATATTTCATAGCCACACCACTGGCGTGACCCTAACCATGAATATATGTACTGCGCACTGCAGTTTACTGAGTGGGCCTGAGTAATGGGTCTGATCCAGTGTGCACCACAGTTCCATGAGCTAGACAAGGGCTAAGTTGACCTTGTCATTAGTAGTAATAGTTGGGGTGGTTGTGGTATTACCATCCTCCCCATTTTGTATTACGGAAATGGACATTTAAGGATACCGATTTGCCTAAAATCTGTAAATTGAAATTCCCGAAGAGAAAAATATTATTAAATTCTGATATCGTAGCCTAATTCTATCTGAAATTCAAGAGTAAAAAAAATCTAATTGAACATTTGGAAACCCCATTTACTTCTCAGCTGTTATTTTCAGGGTGGAAGATAGACAGCAATTAAGAGAATATGGTCAATATTTCCAATGCAACATTTTCCATTCTTCTTAGAACTATGTCTATTTCTTGAAAGTCAATTAATTGTCTTTTCCATTTCCCTTTGGTCTTTATGGTAATTTGAGGGGAGGAGGATGATGCTTAGAGAGTGAGCTTTTTTCTTGGAGCCAGTTTTTTGGACTTAACTTATTTTTGTTTTGGATAATGTGTTCTTTTAACAAAATGTATGTCAGGAACTGCTCTAGATCCTGACTCCTTTGCATCCACATGTCTTTGGTGAGTGATGTGGTTATTTTGTGACTAATGTCCAGCTCTGTTTTTCCTCTCAGGTGGGGTGACCGCTCTCTGTTGGGATCCAGTGCAGCGGGTGCTATTCTCTGGGAGTTCTGATCACTCTGTCATCATGTGGGACATCGGTGGGAGGAAAGGAACAGCCATCGAGCTCCAAGGACACAAGTAAGGCTGCGGGTACTTTTATAAAGAGCTGTGAGAAACGACTCCCACCTGCAAACTGGAACAGTCTGCATGGCAGGATCATAGCCACTTTGGTTCTGTCTGCACTAACATGTGTTTATATGTTTACACCTCATTTTATTCCACAGAGGAATTATAAAATACACACACACACACGCATATATATTTTATAAATATAT